ATCAGCTCAGCCTCCTGCCAACACCTCCATCCTCCAGTCACTTAGATATATACCTACCAAAATGAACACTAAAGTCAAAATCAAGTTCAGGTGAAAATAAAAGTGTACTTTCTCAATACCTGAGTGTGTATCTTGATATCTGAACAGGCTGCAAGTGAACCACCACTGAATCTAATATAACTTCAAGAACAAAGGCGAAATAACAGAAGCAGTCTCCTAAGGTCTAGCTGCCTGGGAAAACTTCATAATAATAATGATATAGTCTCAGCATCACAGGAAAGTTAGTACCCAAACCTCTCAAAATTTTAGGTTCAATTAAAAACCTCAAGTAATAATCACTTTCAAGTAACTTTTCTAAACTTCTTAACATTAAATCTTATAGTATGTACTGTTTAAAGCTCAAACACATTTAAATGCATTTTAAGATTCTGAGAACTTACGGAGTGTCCATTCTGAATGAGACTGCCAGACACTAAGTAAGTGACATGCAACTGGGCTCCAGAGTTTTCTTTTCGTTTTCTTTCAACATAATCATACAGCATCCTGTTCCAAACAAAAGGCACAAGTAAATCATTAGTAAAAGCTTTTATTTTTACATCATCAACCAGCTCTCACTTTTTGTGATGCAAAAAGTAGACATTTAAATTTTGACAGTTCCTCCAACTTGCTATAGAATTAACAGAACTGTGAAGTCAGTCAGAAGAAAGGCAAGTACTAAAAACCAGAGGACAAACAAGACAAAAACTTAGAAATCTGGCTGTAGATTTGAGGCTATGGAAGGGGAGGATGGAGGGCAGCAGACGATAGTGGAGGATTATGGATGGGTATGGTATGGTATCTGTAGAGGTGAGCCTATACTTCTAATTCTACACAGTATCGTAAACTATACCGCAATAAAAAAATACCAAAAAATAAAAAAAAAGTCAAAACTTGCAGTGAGTTGGCTTAGTGACCAAGCAATCGAAAAAAATCTAGTAATAGGCAGTGAGACTGGACCTGCACTCAAATAGTAGCAATGACTTATAATGGCTAGAACACTGAATCAAGAACAAGTTCAGTCACTATGTAGTTATGTGATCTTTGGTAAGTTAATTTTTGTAGACTTCATAATGTCCCAAGGTATAAGATGGGCAGGCTGTACTCGATTAGTGATTCTCTTAACCTGAGATTCCTGTGGCCATAGATAATCGTCCAAACCCAAAACAAGAAGCAAAATGTACAGGTGCTTTTTTGCAGGACAGATGATTCAGGGATTTCAACAGATTCTGAAAACATTATGTCAAAATATTAGGAACCACTATGCAAATGTCCACCTCTGAAATTCTAATTTTATGATCACTCAGATTCAATGCTATTCCAGAATCGTAGAATGTAATATTTACTCACATTGCCTAGGTTCAGAGTATTCATTGCCCCGATACTGCCAACTGCTCAAAGCAGAAATAATGTTCCTTTTGGTAACATCCTAAATTCATTTTTATGTTCACAATCCAGCAAATATGATTAGTTGGGTCCCCTTCAATATCTACAGTTTAACAAAAACAAGAGATCTATAATTTGTGTCTTTTCTTTCAAGAAATATTTACTGAGCCTCTATAACATGTCATTTCTCTGCCAAAGATAGCTGGAAACTGAAATGCTCACCATTCTTTTTTTGAAAGGCCCTCCTCTAAGCTTCATGTCTCCAGGTCCTGCCCCACTGAGTCATGCTACCCTCTCTGTCTTGGCTCCATCCCCAACACAGACTTAATTGTCTCCTCCTTTTCTCTACCTGATGAGGTTCTGTCTTTAGTTACATTTTTACTCTATATATTTGCTTAACCAACCACCCAAGTTTGCCTGATCTGAGGGATTTCATGATAGGGACTTTTAACACTAAAACTGACAGTCCTGGGCACACCAGGAAGTGAGTCGTGTTACTACCTACTCTTCTTGGTCTACTTCATTCATCTCATGGCTCCATTTATTCCCGACAACATCACTGCCCGCTCAAATGACCCAAGCCAGAAATCTGGGAGTCATTACCCTTCACTTCTCCCTCTTCACTGAGTTGCCAAATCCTGTCAGTTCTCCCTCCCAAGTATTTCTTGACTTCATGCCCTCCAAATCTCTTGATTGTACTATTTCAATTCCAAATGTCAACAATGCTCCCTCCTATTCACAAGGCTGCCAAGAGAAAAGTTTTAAAAATGCAAATCAAGCCATTCAATAAACAAAACTTTGCTAAGAGGCTACTTCACATGTTCTATGCCTTTGGGGTAGAGTAGTGAACAAAGCAGTTAAAGTTCCTGCCCCTTCAGACATTGTAGAAAAGAGATCAACAATAAAGTAAATATATGTAAGATGGTAATAAACCTATGGGGGCTGGGTGGGGAGGGAAAGGATAAGACTAGTGAGAGCTGGAGAAGAGGTAATTTTTACATAATTAGGGCAGATGTCAGGTACAAATCCCTGCAGGAAGCTACCCATGTGACTACCTTGAAGAATGCTCCAGTAAAAAGCAGCATATGCAAAGGTTCTAAAGCAAGAATGGAAAGGAGGTCTAAGGAACAGAAGAGAGGCCAAGTGTACTGAAGCCAAAGAAAAGACAAAGAGTGGCAGAGACAGTGCCAGACATGGAGGCCTCTGTGGCCCCACGGAGGTCTCTTTCAAGCAAGGAAGTCATTGGGATATTTAGAGTAGAAATAACACCATCTCCCCTTTTGGAATTCCTGACTACTATGTGAAGATTTGCTGATGGATTGACCTTGGGGTATGAGTGAGATGGTCAAGGATGACTGGATCATACAACTCAAAAGAATGAACTTGTCATTTACTAAGATGGGGAAAAGCAGGGGCTGGGAAAGAAATCTGCAGGTAGGTTTTGGGGCACATTACATCTGAAAAGATGTTGAAAAGGTGGATCGTCTGTCTGAAGTACTATTCCTTATTCAAAAGCTCCACCTCTAAGGATCAACTTCAGATCCCCAGAATGACATCTAAGGTCTTTCTTGTTCTGGCACCATCACTCACCATTCTCTCACACTCACACTATTTTCAGCCTTATGACCCTGGACTGGTTAAGGCAGTTCCCCTGCTCCTTGGTATGCCCTCCCCTCTTCTGCCAACATGCTCTCCTCAAAATTCATCTAATTTGTCATCTAGACAGTAGCTCAGTAATCACCTCCTAGGTGAAGCCTTCCCTGACATGGTTGGTAGAGTACCTCTGCCTTTTACCTTTTAAGAGAATTTATCTAATTTGTGTTACTGTAGCATGTAGACACTTCTAACTATTTAACTTATCTGCCAGCCCCCAGGACTTAATAAGTCCTTGACGGCAAAGTGTGCCCTATTCAGCATTTTTGCTGATTCCTTATTTTCTTTTCAGTGTTTCCTCCCATGAAGCAACTTAGTTTTATCAATACCACCCCAGCCATTGTCCTCTATGCTCATCTCCCCAAATCAACCCAAATCTTTTATATTACCAAGGTCAAAACCACACTTTTTTTAAAAAAATGGTTTCTGCACACTTTTTGTTATCTCTCTGACATGTTTGATTATGCAAATACTTTATTTACAAAAATATATGCAAAATGTTCTTAAATATGAATGATTTAAATAGATGACTTAACAAGAAGTGTAACAGGGTTGTCCCTAGGAAAAGGGGGAAGTTCCAGGTTCCCTGTCCCTCCCAGAAGGAGGGTGGAACTGAGGAGAAAAAAAGAGAGAAGGCATCTGAAGAGAAGGAAGCAGGAGGGAAAGCCAGAAGGAGACCTGAGGAAGTCACATGGAGCAGCAAACATGTGATGAAGAAACCATGCTTGTTTCCTGACCCTGGGCTGGTTAAGGCAGATGTGGATGAGATATCTGTAGGGCGGTTGACAATGGCAGTGCTTATATTGATAATGATTTTGCTCTTTTCCTCCCAGATTTGTCTGGCCATTTCTGACCCTTTTCTATGGGTCCTGGCCAGAAGGTGCTTTAGGCTTGTGGCAGGCTTTCAGGCCTTGCTTTGGGCCAATCCCTTTTGGAGGGACTTTTGCCCCTGAGGGGATGGGTAACTTCAGATGTTTGATTTAGAAATTATATTCTTTGCCTTCCGTATTGTATACTCACTGTATTAAAGTTCCTTTTCATTAAAGTCTTACATATTTTGTCTTGATACGGGTGATGGCAGAACCTATTTAGAGCAGGCAGGTTTGGGGGTTCAGTGGCGCCCCTCTCTCTTCCTGCCCTGTAACAGAAGCACTTCCTACACAAATGATTACCTAGATCTTCCCATTTTAATTCATTGATTTTCCCTCCTGATCAATTCCATCCCTCCTGATCAATTCCATCCATATTTTTCCCTGGAGAAAAATACAGTGCATAATCTATACTGTCTTCTCTAGCCTAGTTTAATTCTTTACCTGCATTATTTCAAACTACTGTAATAGCATCTGCCACACTGGGCCTAGTGGTTCGTTTTAACTAAAATTATGCAGCAGACATAATACTGCTTGATTTCTGGCACTAGTCAGGAAAGGCAATCTACTTCTGCTTGTGCTGCAACAGTAGCTTCTGGAGTCCTGAGCTGCTGTGTAAGAAGACTGACCACCAGAAGTAATCCTGCTTTGAGGAAGCCAGGACATACAGACCACATGCAATATCTGACCAATAACCCTTGCTGATGACCAGTACTGCTAGTCATGTGCATAAAGGTGCCCAGAGATGACTGGACTCCTGCTGCACCCTTCCCAGTGGAGGCACCAGACATCATGGAGCAGAAGTAAACCGTTCTCCCTGTGCACTGTCCAAATTCCAGACCAAACGGTTCTTATGAACATTAACAAAATGGTTGTTAAAGCCACCGATAGTAACTGGAACAATGATAAACATGACAAACATGTTCCCTGCTTCCCCAGAATTTATATTTTAGTGGGGAGGAGCACATAAATAAGGCAAGAAAATGTTAGACAGTAATAAGAAGTATGAAATGCTAGGTCAACTGGGCATTCACATGCAAAGAATTTAGCTGGCATCTTTCCTTCCACCACACACAAAATTCTTTGTAGGAGAAATAGTTAACTATTAATACATTTTAGTGCATTTAAAATTAGCTTGAACTGAAAGCTAAGTGCACTCTATTGAGGACTGAAGCATTTTTGGCATATTAATAAGCACATAACATAGAGAGACCTTAAATATAGCAATAATTATTAATGTAAGAGCTAAAACTCAGAAGCAAGTCTTTATGGCTCTAGGTTAGGGAAAGCTTTCTTAGATATTATATAACAAGCACATATAACAAAAGAAAAAAATGAAATGGGTCACCAACAATAAACAGCTTCGTTTTTTTTTTTTTTTTATCAAAAAAGTACAAAGAAGAGATTTTTTGCAAATCATGTATCTAATCAGGGTCTTGTTTCCAGATTTTATCAATAACTCAACAATGAAAAAGATAGATAATCAAGAGTTGACATGAACATAAAGAACTAGAACCCCCATACATTGCTGGTGGGATTATAAAATAGTGTAGCACAATGAAAAAAAAAAAAAAAACAACAACTAAGGTTCCTCAAAATGGTAGGTATATATACATACTATATGATCTAGAAATTCCAATCCTCGGTATGTACACAGGAGAACTGAAAATACATGTCTACATAAAACTTGTAATCACATGCTCACAGAGGTATTACCCATAATGCCCAAAGTGGCTAAATGGCTATCAACTGAATAGGTAAACAAACTGTAATAAATATCCATGTTATAAGTTTAACTGTGTCCTCTAGAAAAGATGAAGTTCTAACCATCAATACCTCAGAATGTGACCTTATTTGGAAATGGAATGATTACAGATATAATTTAGTTAAGATGAGGCCAAATGGAGTAGGGTAAGCTCCTAATTCAATATGACTGGTATCTGTGTAAAATGATCAGATGAAGAGACAGATACACAGGGAGAATACCAAGTCACTTCAAAGGCAAAGGTTGTGGATATGCAGTTGTAAGTCAATGAACAGTAAAGATCTTCACAATTCCAGAAGGCAAGATAAGATTTTTCTCTAAGGGTGTCAGAGGGTGCAAGGCCCTGCCAACACCCTAAATCTGGATATCTAACCTTCAGAACTGTGAGACATTGATTTTTAAAAGTTACCCAGTTTGCAAGATTTTGTTATGAGAGCCCCAGGAAATGAACGTACTATATAATGGAATATAATCGAGTGATAAAAATGAAGTACTTATATACACTACAAAATGGACACATCCTGAAAACATAAGTCAAAGAAATCAAAATGATGAGTCCATCTTATGAATCGTCCAGAATAAGCAAATCTGTAACAGTTTATTAAGAGTAATTAATAAATTAATTATTAATAAACAAGAGTTTTTTAATGGTTACCTAGGGTTGAGGAGACAGAGAATTGGCACCTGCTAATAGATGCAGGGTTTCTTTGTGGAGTTACAAATTTTTTTTTTTTTATTGTAGTGATGGCATACAACTCTGAATATACTAGAAACCACTAAACTGTACATTTTAAATGGTGATTAATATAGCACATAAATTATCTGTCAATGATGTGGTCTGAAAAAAAACTACGAAGGAAATTAACAAGGTGACATGACAAGGTGATATAGACAGCCATAACTAGAGCACCAAAGAAAAGTTTTTATAAGTAATGTGTGACTTGAGCTGAAATCTGAAGGATGAGGACAGCTAGGAAAAGAACATGCCAGGCAGAGAAAATACTGCAAATGTCCTAGAGTAAAATGGACTTAGAATATTGAAGGAACAGAAAGGCATTAAGTGTAAATATAGGTGGGGAAAGAGAATAAGTTGTAGACAGGCAAGAGCCAGACTGTATAAAAACTCTAGGCAATAAGGTAGCTACAGTAAAACTGCAGGCAACTTTATTTCCAGCCCTCAAAAAAATGCATCTTTGAACCCCACTAGGCTTATTAGTATTAGCTGCCTCATTTCATATTTAAACATCCTAAATCACAACAAATTATTCTTAGAGGTATAGTTCCAAAGTCACATGAATATCATGGGTTTAGGCCAGGACTAATAACACCTGTAGCCACCTCCTATTGCTAGCATAAGCTCAAGTGTTAACTAGTAAAGCATGTGATGCTAATCATGCCATGAGATGCCAATCAAGATGTGAGCAATTCCTTTCTCCAGCAGATGCTAATGCCTGCATTGTTCAAGGGTCAACTGTGTCTTCAGGCTCCACATCAAATCCCCACTTTTGACAAACAACGTCTGCACAGGTGTAGGGTCAAGCAATTTTGAAGTTCCTTCTCTTTTGGCTTCAAGCTAGAACACAAGTTTCAACTAGGAAATGTGGAAAGGCAATGCTCCATGCCATCCGAAATTCTCCCTAGTTTCACTCAATACACTCCCCTTTATCTTATATAGTGCTAGAACCAAACACTTTTTGACCTCATTAGGGAAGTACTTCAGTAATACCCAGAGAAGGACCTAAGGAACACCTGTGAAAATGAAATGAAGGCATAATACATGTTAATTGAGACATAAATAGAATTAGCCAATGCATTTAATAAATTTAAAACAAAGTGATTGCTAACCAGAGGCAAGGCCTCACCTAAAGCCAGTAAATGTATCACCATGCATTGTATACAAGTCCACCTAGCTCGTAAAATAAAAATAGTAAAAGGTAGTAAAAATGGTATTCGTTCCCATCTCCTTCCCCTCAAAATTAGGTTACCAAAACTATAGGTTCCCTATAAAGCTAAAAACAAAGCAAAACAAAAAACTCGACTGTAATGAAAATTAGTAGCATATTGGACTTACTGTTTGGCCTGGTTAACATGAACCCCTAGCGTATAGCTCAACCACTTATACGTCACCTGCAAGAAGAAGGAATTTTTAAATGTTTTATTAGATGACACCAGAGTGCAGATCAATCTCAGTAATCCTAAATACTCCTACTCTTAGATGACTATGCTTTCTAAATTATCATAGATGCCACTCTCTTTTGTCAAGAACCATTGTTCTTGGCAGGTAGGACTGGGATATCTATCTCACAAACACAAAGAAATTTGTTCCACAGACCAATTATTGCAAATGAATCTAAAAGACTGAATACACAAAAAAAGTTCTCATTTTCTTCATACACCTTATTGTATGCCTTTTCACATGCTGTCCTTTTTTTGGGGGGGAGAGGGGAAACACCACCAAAAACTATTGTAAAATGTCCCCTCCTTTCCCCAAGCTAGATTACTTTGAAGAATAGGTCTAAGGAAAGTTGCACTCAAACATTAAAGGGCAGGGGGTGCAGGGATCAGGGAATGAATGTGAAGGATGAGGGTTTGAATACTTTCTCAGAGGTTAGACTGGGAACAACTGGTATAAAGTAGCAATCTTCCTTTCACCCTTCCTTGAACTCTCCAGTCCACCTGTCACTTCTTTTTTATGCCTGTCACTCTCCTTTCAAGTCTATCCTAAATACTGACTTCTGATAATAGACTTACAGAGGTTAGGCAACGGCAGTGTAGTTGATAGGAATCATTAGAAGAACAGACCTGGGCTGAAAGGTGTCTATCCTTTACTAATCACAAATAAAGTTATTTAGCCTTTCTGTCTCAACTGCCTCTTCTAGAAATACCTCCACCCACTTCTGGATGGTTCACTATAAAGATTAAATGCAAAATAAATAATGTGTTTTAAACTGCCCTGGCTCACAGTAGCCACTCAATATTACTGTTCACAAGGTGCATCCACATCCATCACTTCATTTTTATGCCAATTCTGTAAGGCAGGTCAACACTGTATCAGTACCTAAGTTTCCAAGAAGCAACTGACTGTCGGATGGTTAAACAACTTGTCATTTAACCCGGTTAAGACACAATTTCCTTAACTGGAAAACGCGACTTTAAATGCCATCCACCTCGGCAGACAGGTGTAGACACACCTTATAAATATTACCCAAAGCCCCTCCACGCTCGACCTTCTTGGCTGCTGATCCACGTAGAGTCCCCAGCACGCCCACCCAAGGGCGTACCAGGGATGTCCGCTGAGAGTCCCTGCTGGCCCTGGACACGAGGCGTGGGGCCTGAGTCTCCCCGCGGGCAGTCCCTACGAGGCCACAGCAGAGGGTCAAGGCCTCGGCCTCCCATGCCAGGCCCAGGACCCCAATAGCACGCCCGCGTTCCCTAGGCCTAGTTACTCACGATCTTGTTCTGGTCCGTGACGAACTCGTCTATATTTTCCAGGTAAAGCTGATCCGCCATGGTGCTGCAGCGCCTGTCCCGCCGCCCCCGGAGCCTCACTAGCAGCCACAACCACAGCTCCCGCCGGCGGGAAACGTCGTTTTCCTCCCCGCCTCCCAGTCCGGGGTCGTTTCTCACGGCAACGGGGGCGACGCACTACGGCGGCCGCCAGAGGGTCAAACTAGTCTCTGATAGGGCGCGGGTTGAAGTAGGTGGGGCTAATCGAAGCGAACGGAAGTGAAGAGCTAGGAGGGCGGGGGTGGATTTGGAGGGGCTGATATTGGACGGGTGGTTACCATACTCACCGTAGCGATTTAATGACAGACCCCAGGACAAAAAGAAGTCTTTTCATTGATAAAATTAGTCTTGTCCTTTCATTCTTTATTTAACAAGTACCGATTCTGTTCCAGGCCCTGGGACAGCTAACAATAAAAACACGTAATTTTAGTACAGTAATGATAGCTGGGATAAAGTACTACCTGTTACAGTCCTTCAAAATTGAGAAATGGGCTTTTCAAAGGAGATGAGCGAGGGGGAGTGTTTTAGATGGAGGTAGGAGCATGTGCTGGAAAGAGAAATATTGGAAAGTTGGTAGGAAAGGTGACCGAGGAAAAATGACACATTGGGGAAGTCGGATCCGGTTGCACCTACTAGGCTGTGAAAAGGGTACCATGAACTTTACTCTCAGGAAAACTTGGAGAAGAGTGTTCACGTTAGGGAATTTCAACTAAAAGGTCTCCTAACATCGGCTTAATAATTTCATAACTGACTTCAGCACAGCCAGTATAGTTCAACTTGCAGGCATAGAGGACAATCTAGAGTCAGACCTTGGATTGGAATCCTGATTTTGATGTTATTTGTGTGACAGGTAAGTCATTTGACCACTACAAGTCTGTTTCCTTACCTAGAAAATGGAAATAATAACAGCGCCCATTTCAAGATTTTGTTGCTATGCCATTCAAGACATAGCAAATGCCTACAAAGAGTGAGGCACTATTCTCCGTCCCAGCATGCTGGGAATACAGCTGTATTCAATAATGCAAGATGCTTGTTTACATATAGTCTAATTTTCATGGAAATGAGTCAAGTGTGGAATGGTGCTAGCTTGAGGTAACATAGTGGCAATGAAAACTGAGAACTGAATGGGTGGCTTTTCTTATAGAGTCAGTAAAATATGCTGATAAGTGGAGAAAAGACAAATGAGGAAAAATGCCTAGATTCAGAACCTAAATCTCTAGGTAAACGTGATGCCTTTGACTACTGAGATGTGAGCGAAAGAGCAAATGAGATCATCAGAGAATTATATTTAGTTATAAACAAGATAAAAAGTATAAAACCCTTATTGCTGTGACCAGTCAGTAACAGTGGTTATTACTATACCTCAGTGTAGGGTAAACGAAGATACTCAGCTTGTGTGCCTTTGGCGTTTGTGACTATCACCTGCAGCCTTGAATGCAGGAGGAACTTGGGAGCGTGGGCTCCCAGGTAAGAATGCCTGAAGGTGGGCACCTGGAGTATGGAGTGGGCATGCATAAGTGGATACACCTAGCCTGGAGGCTGGGGGCTATAAGGGCAATGTCAGAGGATGGTGTGGGGCTATGGTGGGGCCCATGAGAGAACTCCAGAGAGCCCAGAGAGAGTAAAGATTCACCAGGGGCTGGGAGGCCTGCTAGCCTCCTGGCTAACCCACCCTCACCCCCTACACCCCCCCTCCCGCCTCCTGCCTCCCCTGCACCTGGTTGCCTCACTACAAATGGTGTAGAAAGATGACTATGAGATTGAAAAAGCCACTGAGGGCTCCAGAATTCTCCTTTATCCATCTCTAGCACTGATAGAGAAACTGTCCCATAGAGAATAATCAGGCATACTGTACCAGGTGCTTAGAGAGTAAAATTCCATTTAATCCTCAAAACAACCCTGCAATTGGGTTGTGTTTGGACATATTTTATAGACTAGATTGCCAAGATTCAAGAAAGGGTATGTGGATTTTCCAGGTCCAGGGCTAAGTGGTAGCACCTTGTTTGAAACTCAGGTTTCTTCCATTCTTCTACAGAAGTGGGCAAAAGCCAAGATAATTGAGGAGAGAAGAGTCATGCTACCCTCCACCAAAAGGATATAGATGTCATAGAATTCAGAGTTAGAGAGTGATACACAAAATCACACAATTATTTCCACTATACAGATATGATAAACAAATAACCTCAAGAGCATAAATACTATAATAAAATAATTAAGAGATGATGAGACTTGGTGTTTATTGTCTTGTTTTTAGTATATTTTCTTTAACTATCTATATAATTTAATTTTAAATTTAGTAATAGCTCTGTTTAATAACTGACTTGCAAACTTTCTGGAACTTTATAACTTAGCTCTTCATATAAGCCAGCTCTACCACATTACTGTCAATAATTTACCTGTCATGATTGAAGGGACTAAAAGTAACATCTTCTGTGCCAGGCAGCTAGCCAACTGCTCTATAAATGGGTATTATTATGTAACTAACAATACATACCACTAGCCATATGCCAGGCTCTATTCCAACTACCTTGTAAATATTAACCTGTGGAATCACCAAAAGAATCCTAGAAAATAAGATGTGTGATTAAGATTATCCACTTTTTCAGATAAGTAAACATTGGCACAGAGAGAGCCAGTGACTTGCCCAAGATCACAGAATAACTGGTAAATCCAGAATTATAACCCAGACAATCTGGCTCCTGTACTCACAATCCTAAACGTTTTGTTTGGCTGTCTCATTACTAGTTTACAAATGTACATAGAAAAACATAAGTACAGTAAACGCTAACATATTTTATTGCAGAACTTTGGAATCCCTGTGCACATCAGTCAGGTGAGAATTGCTTTCAGTCAAAGCAAAGTAACAAATGGTACATGTTGAATATCTAAAGGTTGTGAGAATATAGAGCAGGCAAGCCAGAGTTAATCTTGAATTTTGGGGGTGAGCAGTTGTTGGGGCATAGGAAAAAGGAAAGTTAATTTGGTTTAGGGGAGAACCACCGCTAGCAAAGCCAGCAAAGAAGCCTAGGCTTGTTTTCAGATAGGTGTTTTTTGTAGATAATGTCTGAAAGCTTAATTCTTGAGTCAAAAGTGAGCCAGAAAAGAGTACTCTTCTGCTCTTTCACTCCCATAAATCATGAGGTGAACATCATTTGGCTCATGTGCACTGCTGAGATGATAGCAGCTCTAGTTTATTGAGCACCTACCATGTTGTGAGTGTCTTACACACAGTGCCTCAGTTCAGGCTCAAACAGTCCCATTAAACTCTATTAACCCTTCAGCAAAGAAAAAAAAATGAAGACCCAAATTTGAAATCAATTTTATATTGGTAATATGAAGAGTAAATAGGAAATGATTCCTTATAGGTTCCAAGACAAGGTCTGTGAAAGTGACAATGAAATAGGACTTTAGAATTGGCCTCATTCTAACACCCGCTAATACCACTAGCATCAAGTAGGTTCTAAGAAAATGCTAGTTGGCTTTTCTGAGTAAATAATAGTTGACTTATGTTCAGTTATAGTGAGATATGAGGGGGTGGAAATACCAGATTGAGAAACAAGGGGAACTGAGAAAGTGTTCACTCTTATTCACTGAGTGTATAGTGTGCAAATACCATGTGAAGCCTTTTATTTGAATATTTTTACTTAAATTTCAAAACAATTCTATAAAAATAGGTAAATGTTATTTACCTATCTATTATGATCCCTAGTTTACAGCTGAAGAATGGGGTCCAAGGAGGTTATGTAATTTACCCCAAGTGGTATGTGCCCACGTATGCCCAAAGTCCATGTTCAGACTCTGTGATTGCCGTTAGGGGTAAACATTTGACCGATTTTTATCCCTTATTTAATTTTTTTCTTCTACATGTTTGAATTTTTATGAGTTCATACCATTTTTACCATAAGGAAAAAAAATGTACTCATTTTGGTAAAAGATGGGGGTATTTAGCAATATAAAATTAACTCATTTTGTTCTTCCAGGTATCTGTTATATTTTCCCTTTTTGAAACATTAAAGGCAAATCTCCAAAAATGAATTGTACAACCATTCCTACAGATATTTAAATGTTACTTCTTTAAAAAAAAATACAACTCATTCCCTATTCCTTATAGATGAGGCTTAATACCAATGTTTAGAACAAGAGCAGTTCTCAAGAAGCCAGAACAACAAATCAATTAAAATCTGCAAACCAGAGGAGCCCCAAGGAAGCCATGGGGATCACTGTGTCAGCTGATGCCAGCCGTGGGGGCTGTAGAGTCAAGACCATTATGCCTCTAGGACTCAAAACAAAACTTAAAGTTGGTATTAGAAATAGAAAGCTGACCCTTCCCTCCTCTGTATCACCCTTACTTTATCCCATAAGTGAATGGCATCAGAGAATCTTCTGACAGGGAATGGGTTGGAAATCTAGACAGGGCTAATAATGCCATGGGAATGAGGACCAGTCCAGCAGGGGCAGTGGGCCTGCAGGAGCAGCTCTGCCAGCTAGCTGGTTTCTGGGGTGGGAGGAGCATGCCAAGCAGGGTAACAAATCAGAACCAAAGAGGTAAGATTAAGGATTTTGACTTGAGCTACATCCCTGTTCAAGGGTCATTTCAGAGTTCCAGGAGCCCAGGACTAAAAATAAGGTATTTCACATTCAATTGTTCATATGTTCATTCATCAAACATTACTAAAAGCCTCCTACCTACCAGGACCTGTGTGACTCGCGGGAGCACAACATGGTCTTCATCCCTGGGAGTTTAGTTGGAAACACAAGGTATCAGGAAAATCTGAAGGTGTAACTAACCCAGTCTGAGGATCTTACACATACTTGGACTTGTATCAGTCCATATCATTTTTACCAGCAGATAATATGAACATATCCTCATTTTGAAATAATATGGGGCATTTTTGGAGAAAAAAAAGGTGGGGGAAGCTGGATTTGGGTATCCAGGACAAGATATCATATGATCCCTCTTTTCGCTTTCAGCAAAATATGTAACCAGTGAAATCAATGTCCTGTTCTTGTTCTAGCTTTTATAGGCCTGTATTTCTGCTTTAAAAAAAAAAAAAGTTGTTTTAAGAGAACAAGTTTACCTAGTGTAGACTGTCTTGTAAAATGTACAGCCACCAAAGCCAGGATCCATCAACCTTCCTGACAGCAGGCAGGAGTCCAAGAGAGGGGGAGATAAGCCGGCAGGTGCTGTTCTGAACACCTTATCAGTTTTATAAAAATCAATGTAAAACCCTTCAGTTACCAAAACAAAGCAGGTCAGCCAAGAGCCACAGATACAGGCTCTTCTGTTTCAGCCACTGCCACCCCACCACAGCCCAGTACACATTTACACCCCTGCCTGTTTATTCCTGTGTGGGCCACCAGAGAGGTTCACATGAC